GGTTAATAGGGCACCTGCACAGCAATCTTGTTTGACCTCTGACCTCCCACAAAGTGAATTTGCTTTGAAATAATAAATACCATCTAATGTTGAGTGTCTTACGTGTGTCAGTGTGTTGCAATAAAACTGTTTAGTTATTTACATTTTAGAAGAGGGTGCCTCAAGACTGTCCATAGTTTTAAAGGGTGCTGGACTGGAAAAAGTTAAACAACGCTACAGGGACCTAAGAGTCAGGAATCAAAATACAGTGTATATAATTGTTGTGCAAAACTTCTTGCACAGAAAAAAAATCAGTTTTCTGATTTGTATGATCAGGTTGACTGTTCATCTGTGGGTGGTAAGCTGAAGAAAACAAGTTTCAATCTTCAGTGCTTTGCAGAGTACTTTCCAGAACTCGGATGTGAACTGTACTTCCAGATCAGAAGTGATGGTGCTAAGCACCCCATGAAGTCTTACCATTTCTTTAACAGATCCCAGATACCTAGAGATCATATCTTCACATGTTCCTGAGCTTCTTCATTCCCAAGGTTTCTCACTCACTTCTCATCTTCCATGATACTTCCAGCTAGGTACATGGGATACCCCGTGCCGCGAGGTCTGTCCCTGTATGCATGTGCTCCTTTAGTGACATCAGACCAGACAGATTAACTTAACAATTACTTAAGTAGTTTATTTAACAGATAAATGGTTCTCAGCAACATATTTCATACACATTTCTGTACAAAGTCCTCTAAGCGCCCTTTGCGTGTGTCCTTGGTGCCAGGGCCATGGATATAGAGGTACCACCAGTCCTCCTGTTTGGGGCCCAGGCAGGTGCATGAATCAGGTGGGCAGGTAGGGTGTTCGGCACGGTGTGGGGGGCGATTACTGGAACTGATCCCCTTATGGCTTTCTGTGCAGTAGCTGAAAGCTGGCTTCTTCTCCTCTCCCTCCCACTGACTTTCAGCTGTTGCAAAGAAAGCCATACAGGGGATTGGTTCCAGTAACTGACTCCCCGCAGCACCCACAACCGTACCTGTGCACCATGTGTTTCCCCTTGCTGCCCAGGCCCCCTTGTGTGCCCCCACCCCCAAAATGCTGTCGTCTTCCCTCCTCTCCTTCACACTGGCAGCTTCAAGCACACAATAGGATCCTTCAAGATGGAGAGTGGGGGAAGTGTCCAGTAAATATGTTACATTTACCAGCCCCTTCATCTCCTGAATGAGCATGAGTGATCGATGTCGATTACTCACTGTGTTCATTCATAACTGAAGCATAGTAAATTGTGTTTTATTTGGGGGTTTCTATCAGGTTTGCTGTATGAGGCCCTGTGGTTTCTAACAGCAGCCCTGCTTGATGCTCCCTTGTGCCCCATGAGGTGGTCATACCCTAACAGGTGGGAAAGTGCATTAGTCTTTATAGCAGCAAAGGCCATATGCTTTGGAACCCTGACTGGCCTCCCACAAGGGTGGTAAAAGGTAGCAAAGTGGAGACTGCATCCTTAGCTGCATTCTCCTTCTCTTCCCACGTGAGAGCAACTCCAGGCTCCTGGCCTAGGTAGAGTTAACCTTTTAAATGCTCTGTCCAGCAGGAGGGGTGTCACTCTTCAGAATAGCCCGGGAAAACCTTGCTAGCAGAGTTAACTCTTACCCACCACACAGCACCCTTTCTGTTGGGCAACATTAACTAAATGGTTCGGCTCACAAGATAAAAAATACATTGAACTCAGAAAATACTGAGCACAGCCAACACAATAATACCTCAGTAAGCACATGCTTACAAGCTGTGCTATCAGATCAGTCTGAAGTATGAGAAAGCTTTGGGCTGGCAGAATTATATCCGGCTGATAAAACACCTAATTTGAAACAACCAAGAAAGTGTGCAAGGCTTGGAATTTTTGGAATTTGGTCTGCAGGTTTTATGGAAAGTAAATTGAGAGAAAAAGAGTTCCCACCTGGCCTGGCAAGGTTTCAGACGTTTCGACATTCAGATGTGATCTGTGAAGATCACAATGGGATGAGCAATGTCAGTCTTCCAGAACTTTTTTGTTCTTTTGTTCCAGAACCGTTTTGTTTTGCACTAACAGTTCACAGTCTCCCAAATCATAATTCTTTTCTGCAGGACTGAATTTTCTGGGGAAAAAAAAGCTATGGGAATCAAGAGTGACTTAGCACCCTGCCCACTGCATTTTCTGAAAAATCCTTTTCAAGAACACAGGGAAATGCAGGATCAAGAGGTTGAAGGTTTGGAGCTGAGATAAAGAGAGATATTAATTTGTCAAATCCAGTTTGTGCTGTGGGTGTGCACTGGAATCATGCATTTTGGTTCAGAAGCTTGCATTGCATAGCCTGAAAGGCATCATTAAATAGAGTGAGTAAATATAATTGTAGAAAGCTGTCATCTACTTGTCGCACTCTTGAATCCTCACCAAGTTGTATGCCCCTAATAAATCAAGTTTTGTATAGAGTTTAGCTGTCTTGATTTGTTGAAAGAGAGGCAAAAGATGCCTATTTTTAATAGTAATTGTATGCAAATCACTGTATTCAAAACAGGGACAAAGAGAGTGATTTTTCTTCTCCACAAGGATATACCTGCTCTGGAAAGGGATGTAGACAGTCAATTAACAACCTTTCTCTAGATTCATATTTATATATGGAAATAAGTGTTCAAATTCTTGATCAGAGAATATAAAAGATATAGTTCATTCTGGCAGTCATAAGGTCAGTAAGGTGAATGCCTGATTTTGTTCTTGTCAAAGACAACCTGGGAATCACAGTTTACTGAAGAAACATTGTGATGCTGATTTGGGATGTAAGCCAAGAAGAGCTGCAAAATCAATGAACGTTTTCTAGAGATAGTGTTCCCCAGTCTATCTGAGGTTGTGTGCATGTATCTGAGCCAGGAGTGGACTGACAACTCATGGGGCCCCGGGCAATAGGAGATCAAGGGGCCCCTGTGTCCTTGCCCAAACTCAAAAAAGCCTATGAAAAAAGTACCAGGGGCATCTCATGGGGCCCCCTACTGACCCCGGGCCCTCGGGCAGTGCCCGAGTTTCCAAATGGTCAGTCCACCCCTGATCGGAGCTATTCAAAGATAGTGGCTGGCTTCCCTGCAATAGTAACACAGTCTCTACTAAAAGCTTCTCCAACCTATCAAAGGCAAAGAAAATGTTTTTGGTTGAAGTTTCACTTTACATATTGTGTGATTGGAGTTGTTTAGCTCAGTGATAGTAACTTTATAAGTGAGTCCATGCCAGTCTGAACTTTGTTTTAGGCCTTGCCAGACCACTTTTATTAAACAAACTGAAAGTAAAGTCCACAAAATGGTTGCCCACACAGGGGATTTTCATTTAAAAAAAGAAGAAAGTAGAAGTAGAAGAAAAAATACTGAACCACCTGGCTTTCTCTTCAGGAGCGTCGATACTCACTGGTCCCTCAGACCATCTCACACAGCTCTCCTGTTTTCTGGGCTTTCCTGGCTCACTCAGCCTATAGATAAATCTGCCTGCTGTACGGGCCCATTCCTGATCTCTCAATAGGGGATCTCTTGGCACCTCGGGCTCTCTCACTCCTTCGAAACTTTTAGATTCCCCTGGACTCGCCTTGCCACCTCAGCTCTCCAAGTCTCCCAGACTCTTTCTCAGTCTCAGCCAGTTGTCCCAACTATTTTAGTACTCTGTGTAAGGAATATCTCATCTATCATAGAGTGTTTTCTCTTAAGCAGAGCACCTCCGTCTCTTAACAGAAATACACCCCTGTCTTCAAACTGGAGCCCTGCACTATGGTCAGGTCCTTGCTTATAACGAGTGTGCACACCTGCACCTGCATCCTGACGGTCTCCTGAAAGACCTGGACACTGAGTTGGAAATGTATTCCCTTCCAAAGCACTTCAAAGTCTCCAAACTATGGAACTTAAGCTAGGAATACCAAAATCCGGAGGAAGCTGTTAAAACAGTTTTCTCCACTCATAATCAATACTCTGGAGTCCGACACTCTGCCTATCTGCAAACCCTGAGTCCTTTCAACAACCATTTTCACAGTGGCAGGGCCTCACACTGTCACAATATGCTAAAGCAAGTATTCACCTGGAAGAGAGAATACTTGAAAGGTGAAAAGGATTCAATACTTGGTAGATCTGTAAGGGGGTAAGGCGTCACATGGCTGTAAATAAGCTTTAAAGTGTATGTAAAGGCAAACTTTATACACATTTACACACCTTTCTTTAACAGGTAAAAGTTACATACTTATTTAGTTTTTGAAAAATTGGGAAGTGTTGTGACCAAGACAGAAAGTAATGAAAAATCCTGGCAAGGCGAGGGCTTGGAAGACTCCTATCCTTAGATTTGAGGCTGTCAAAAACCGGATGAACTTCATAATGGTTAATGAAAAAACTGACGGCCATATTGTTGGATATATGGCGTCCCTGGCTGGATATAGCTCAACCCTCGAGATTCGACCAGTCCCTTCTGTCGATATGAGGATGGATTTTGCTGTGACCCCCTCGGAGCCCCCCCCCCCCCCCTTTTTTTTTTTTTTTCTTCTTCTGTTGTTGTTAGTGTTGTCCTTGTCTCTCTACTGTTTGTCTTTTCCTAACCTCCTGTTAAATCTGTCCTGAAACTTATTTTACGGATTGTGCTTGCTGTTTTATGCGCTACATTCGCAATACTATTTATGCAATCTAGATTTCTTTATAAACTCTAGGTTATGAACATGTACCATTTTTTGGAGAGGCCTCTTCTCGTGCCTCTCCCGTTTTGTATAATGTTGATGTAGCAAAACTTCCCTTTAGAGTTTACATTATCATTGACCCACAAAGGTTTGTTAATCGTTCCCTTTCAACCCCTTCCCCCATCCTTTCCTACAGGGCACCTATGTATAAACTTTTCAGCTTAAGCCTTTATCGATGCATGCCTTGAACTAGCTTCCCTTCACTTAATACAATTTATAATTGTTGGTCATTGAATCTATGCTCCGAATGTTTGTTTATCTTTGCTTAATATTCAACAAAGCTCTTTGTAAAAGAAAAATCTTGCCAAGAAGTGAGGGTAAATCATCTAATGAAGAAAAATGTTCTGATCACAACAGTTTACTATGTGAATTTTCCCTCACTTTGGGGAGATTTGCTCTTAATTTCTGTTGACTCCCTTGGGCAGGAAATGATGAGAAATTTGTCCAGTGAACAAAGACAAAAAAAAATCTGATAGGGGTTTTAACCCCTTCGTATTCTATTCAAATCACTTTCACTTTAAAACAAGTCACCACTGACCTCTGCAACTGCAGGCACTGTGGAGTTATTCATTTTTAAAGTTTATAGCAGAAAATATTTTGAGGGCTCGTTCACATTTCTAAGGAGATCTGCATTTTCTGTGTAGGTCTTCACAAAGGGCACACAAAAAACAACAATTGTTCTCTATGTGCTCTGTTCAAAATACAGTTTTTCTGTAATTTTCCACATCACGCAGTAGCTCTTCTGATGTCCCTGTATATTACTTTGTGACTTTTCAAGAAAAAGGTAAACAGAGCCTTGTGTTTTACAATGCAAAGCACCATACCTTGTTTATGACTTTGCGCATCCTTATCCATCTCAAAAATATTGCCTTCTCTTTCTGAGATGGGAATAAGGGACAACTTTTAGCAAAAGTATGTAAGCTTAGGACACACCCCCTTAAAGGAGTTTTATACAAGAAAAAATGGTTAGTTAAATCCACAAGTGTTTTTTTTTTTTACCACTACTATAACTTTATACTTGCTTTTGAAATTTATGAATGCAGCAGTTTAGAAATTGGGTGAAAGGTTTAGCACTGGAAAATGCTTTTTGAAAGTCAAAAAGTGAATTTTATATACAACTATAAGGATCAGACCAAATGAGGGACAAATGAGGAAGAATGAGAGACATGGGGCTTTGTTCCAAATTAGGGACAGTCCCTTGAAATCAGGGACAGTTGGGAGCTATGCTACTCTTTCTGAATATGTTTCAGGAAGAAACCATCTATGTCTGGTTGAGTATGGTGTTTGGCTTGACCCTGGCCATGAAGTTTTTAGCTTTTGGTGCTTCACCATATCCTGCCTAGCTTCTGCTTGCCTCCAATAAGGACATCCCAGAGAGTTTTGTTCCACCAATACCAGCTGAATTTCAAAGGGGTCTGTTGACCACCAGCTATTCTCAAGGGCTAAACTTTGGTCAAAGCACATGACCTTCCTGTTGGTGGCTCTAAGCATATTTAGCCATTCTAGCTAGTCTGCACCTAATCCTGTTTCATTATAATATGCTAGTTTGTATTTAAAATATATTTAAAGCACGCCTTTCTATCTGGATAATACTGTAGATTTGTTAAAGGAGTCAAAAGCAGGTTCCCGCACCAACAATTGAACTTCCTTGCCTTGGTTAGTCTCGTATGGAAACTGGGCACCAGTAATACTTGATGTGGTGTGTGTGGGGGGGGGGGGGAAATGTCAAAATAAATCTGTCATGTAACCTGTGATAAAATGCAACATCATAGAAGCACCCTTCTAGCTAGGTGCTGACATTTTGAAGTAAATTTAGTTTTTGGCTCCCCTGTAGCCAGGGTAGCAAAGTTTATTTGCTTTTAGCTGTTCTTGGTTCTGCGGATTGCAGGCTCTGTCGCTTTCCCCTGAATTCTGGTAGGTTCCAAAATTTAGTGGGTGGAGGAGGCAGACCCTCACTTGCATATTCATACAACCTCAGCAAATTCCTGGCAGGAAGAATGGCCAAAAGTGGCTAAGGTGTGTACAAAAAGGCTGGGGCCTGGAGCAGCAGGGTCTTTGTTCTGTAGGAAGAGACCCAGCCTGAGGGCTGTGCACTCTGGGCACCTAGCTGAAGGTTAGAAGTTAGGAGAGCTAGGAGACCAACATCCAGAGCTCCTGAATGAAGTTGAACAAAGTCCACAGGGGATCTGACCTGGAGGCACACAGTAAATAAACTGGCTGGTACTGCAGGAAAGCATTCAAGTAACCAAGTAACAGTAAGTACAAGCCTGAAAAGGTCCTAGAGACTGTCCTTGCCAACCTTTGGGAAAGCGAATTCAAGTTGCAAGCTGACGCCTTACTTTAGCAATGGAGTCCCCTGAGCTGTGTTTCACTAGTAGCCATTACCTTTCCTGTACTAGTTCTGAAATATTCCAAGGTTCACCTTTCACCCTACCCAAGTTTAGTAAGCACACTTTCTGCTTGGTTCTTGTGAAGAGAGACTGGCAAGCTACCATGTGCCTGGCTGCTTGCACTTGAAGAGACAGTGCAATTGGAAAGTGTCTTCCATTACCTTCCTTGTACTGGTTCTGGATTATTCCAAGACTCACCCTTCACCCTACCTAAGTTTACTAAGCACACTTTCTGCCTGGTTCTTGTGAAGAGAGACTGGCAAGCTACCATATGCCTGGCTGATTGCACTTACTAGGGAATAGAACTCGAGACCTGTCTAGGGTCTGTGTGCTACATTTAGGTGAATTGATGGTAAAGTAATATTAAAAGCGCAAGCAGTAAGAGATTGATAAGGAACTCATATTTAGCCAAAATTATTTCCAAAATTCAAGGCCAACGCCACGTGCTAGGTCCTACAAAGTTAGCTTGGTGTGTAGAATTCAGTCAGAATCATTGTCCCTCCTTTATGCTGCCTGTTTCCTCGGCTATATTATTTATGGCACCATACAGCCACTGCTATATGAAATGCCCCTCTCGTTATTTTTATGCACACTGCAGCTCTTATTCCAGCATATTAAATTAACTTCTTTCTGTTTAGTCAGGGCGCTTAGACGATTTTTCTCGGTTTGCAAGTATTTCGCAAAGCAAAATAAGAAAATTGATGTAGCCAAGAATGTTATTTACTCTGTAATAAAAAAGCAATCAGTGGAGTCAGACCCATGGCTTCCTGTACAGAAAGTTGGTAAATTATTGTTTGTAAGGCATTCATCAAAAACTAGTTGTTTTAAACAGTCTTGTAGCAAACAAGGTTTTCTGTGTTACAGATCTGTTTTTATGAGGGATGTCTTTCACTACAATCCTGCTGAAAAATAGTCCTCATTTTTTCTCCACTTTACTATTTACTACCTGCAGATAAATCTCACCCTTGCATTGTCAGACAACCCTTAACGCTGCACTGCTAAGCTTCTGAATGTGCATAAACCTGTGTTGCGAGTTTAAGCTGAACCCTGGGCAAGTATAAAAGACGCAAGTAAATGCAGCTCTATATTCATTTAAATATCATTATTTTTTTCTAAATGCAAGCAGTTTAAATATCTGAGTTCAAACTAGTATCAGCCTCTTGCAGTGCTTGAACAGCAGAGCTGAATTGTAAGAGGAAGAAGCAGCACAAGGAGCCAATTAGTTCAGGTGCTGACAAGAAGCATGTTGATAGAAGGAGAAAGCAGAGAGAGATGAGTTTATCACTGTGCTGCTTCTCTCTTTACTGTCCAGTCACAGGCTCCACCACACTGGCCATCAGACTGAGGTCATCTAGTGGCAGAAAAAAGTACTGCATGGGAAATTCCTGGATCGAAGCTGAATATTGCAGCAAAATCCAGGTTATTTTACAAGGCAACCTAAGCCACTTTTGTGTTACCGTTTTCTTTATTTAGTAATTTTCTCCCCTTAGTCAGTTCTCCGGCACAGTGGAGGACTATGTCTATTTTCTCCTTGGCACTAAAAGAGATTTTAGAAGAAAGCAGTTTTATGCAGTGGTACTTTGATGGGTGATCACTGAAGGAGACAGCCAATTAATTAAAACTTCATGTTAGCATAACCAAGAATAACCTTCAGTCTTTCAAAGTTGTACAAGCTTATCTTCTGAAATTGCTGAAAATATTCTGATTTCACTGAAAACTGTGAGCTCCTCATGTTGTGCATTAGAAGCTGCAATAGGTCAGACAGAGCCCACACACATTTTCTGGCTTGTGTCCAGCAACACCTAGCCCTGTTCCCCAACCTTATTCTCCCTGGCTCATGGTTTTTATTCATTTTAATTCAGTTATTTTAATAATCGAGGCTAAGTATTACCTAGGGCAGTCTTCACAGGAATGCAGTATCCTGCTCCAAACTGTCATTCCTCCATTAAGGCTTTTTTAAATTTTCACAATTCCTTTCAAGAGCCAGACCACTGCTTGCATTAGGACTGAAGGCTTCTGTGAGGAATATTCAGGCAAGCTGCTGCAATGTTTTCAGGAAGCTAAAATTAAATAAAAAGTCTTGCTAACAACCAAAACACTCCAAAAAATTATATAAAACAAATAAACCCTCCAAATAAAGTCGCTTACATCCTGCACATACTTATCAATGTGTCTAGGAGTAAACAAACAAATCAGTGTAGCGCCTTCCAATTACCAATAAATGTAATCATAAATATATACACATAACAAAACTAGTGCATAATAGTGAATATATGAAGTCCCATATAACTTGATGTAATATAACCTTTCAGTATTGTATCTTCATGCGACATATATTATTATTATTATTATTATACAGTATTTAAAAAGCGCCAACAGTTCGCTCAGCGCTGACGTATAACAGTGTTCCTCCACCAACACCCAAGTTGTGCTCTCTCCTGGAGCTTTTTTTTGACCGCACCTTATCCAATGTGGATGAGGCGCAACCCTTTCATAATGTGCATGCGCACGAAACACGTCAGAGAGGAGCCTACGTACTGACGTCACGCCGCTGCGTCCTTACGAAGGTCCAGCTGCCATTTTGTAAGTGGAATACACATGTTGTTTTATTGCTCCACGTGGATGCTTCTGATTACTTCAATAAAATACTGTACCATTAGTGCTTTTCTTTCTGGGCTCGTTTTGTGAGCTATTCCCTTCAAGGTGGAGCCTTTTTGTTTGCTGATGGTGGAATGTTTTGCTGGAAGTATCTCCTAATCCTGGTATATGCCAGCTGTGTTTTCCCTTATTTTGTGTATGAAGGTGGATGAGGCTGACCTGTGGAGGAGCTAGTGACCTTTGATTTCAATGCGCATTTATTATGCGCTTCTGGTGAGTGCATTATAAAGAATGATTTATCATGGATTCACGCATCACTTGACTTCACGATGATCTTTTTTTGGATATTTTATTTAGAACACTGTATCATTGTATTGTTTGCTGTCGTTCGTTATATGTACTGAGTTGTTTACTTACTGTCACGATACAGTCTGTTTGTCACCATTGAGCTATCATTTAAACCATCTGAATAATGTTAGTTATAAAAAGCCCTAGCATAATATGGTCTGGCACCAGCTCTTATAACTGCCACTTTTGTAGTTTCATTATTATTATTATTATTATTATACAGTATTTATAAAGCGCCAACAGTTCACTCAGTGCTGTACATTACAAAGGGGGACAGAACATGCGATCGTACAGTAATAATACAATGCAATACACGAGGGGTTTGCGGGCCCTGCTCTTTCGAGCTTACAATCTAGGAGGGAGGGTATAGTGGTACAGGAGGAGATGGCTGTGGGGGATGGAGTGGTAGGAAGAGTGGAGGAGGTCAGCAAATTAGCAGGGGGTGGGGTAGGCTTCCCTGAAGAGATGGGTTTTCAGAGTACGCCTAAAGGAGAGGAGAGTAGGTGATAGTCTGATGGGTTGGGGCAGGGAGTTCCAGAGGATGGGTGACACCCTGGAGAAATCCTGGAGGCAGGCATGGGAGGAGGAGACGAGGGAACTAGAGAGAAGGAGGTCTTGTGAGGAGCGGAGAGTGCGTGCTGGGTGGTACTTGGATATTAGGTCGGTGATGTAATTTGGGGCAGTATGATGGACAGCTTTGTACGTCAGTGTTAGCATTCTGAATTTGATCCGTTGGGCAATCGGAAGCCAGTGGTGGGATTGGCAGAGGGGGGTGGCGGAAACGGAGCAGTTGGTAAGGTGAATGAGTCTGGCTGCCGTATTCAGGATCGACTGAAGTGGGGATAGCCTGTGGTGAGGCAGGCCAGTGAGGAGGGAGTTGCAGTAATCGAGTCGTGATATGATGAGGGAGTGGATGAGCTGTTTAGTGGTTTCTGGGGTTAGGAACGTGCGGATTTTGGCGATATTGTGGAGGAGGAGTCTGCATGAGTTTGTTAATGATTGGACTTGGGGCTGGAAGGATAGGTTGGAGTCCAGAATGACACCAAGTACTCTGGCCTGCGGGGCGGGCCTGATAGTGGCATTGTTGGACGTGATGGAGAAGTCAATGGGGGGTGGGTGTGCGGGCTGGGGGGAAGACTAGGAGCTCGGTTTTGGAGAGGTTCAGTTTAAGGAAGTGGAGCGACATCCAGTCTGATATGTCGTTCAGTAGGTTTGTGATTTGGGCGGAGACTGAGGGGGTGAGGCGAGGGTTTGAGAGATAGATTTGTGTGTTGTCGGCATAGAGGTGATAGTTGAAGCCGTGAGAGTGTATGAGTTGGCCACCTTGGTCTGCATGTAAAGTTGAAGAAAAATATCAAAAGGCATTTGGAAATTAAAAAAGCAGTTTATGCATACTATTTTTACAGTGGTTCACCAAAAACAGATTCCAGAGGACATCATTTTACTATAGTGATCCTTTAAAGCATTTCCAAGACAAAAAAAAACAAGCAATATCATAACATACACTCCTGCATATGATTGTGTAATGCAAAGTCTTGTTAAAAAAAGGAATTACAAAAAAAAAATTATAATATATGGGGTTACAGGACTATAAAAACATACAGAAGTTTGAGACTTCAGACTTTAACATTTTCAGTTACCTTCCCCATCAGCTAACATGCTTACCCAATTCCCTCCTGTAACTAAATCCTGTAACCTTCAGAACCCCTCCTCTGCCGCTAATTCTCTCCCTACTAATTTTTTGTTCTCCTCCAGCTTGCATAGTGTCCTGCACCCAGGGGTGTATTTACCACAAGGCATTTGCCTAGGGCGGCATTTTTCAGGGGGGCAGCACTGCCCCCCTGAAAGAAGGGATGGAAAAAGGGATATGCAGCATGGTGACAGGTGGGATCTGAGGGAGGCTGCGGGCTGCTTGATGTTGTATGCAGAGCCCGACTCTTGTTCTCGGGGATGTCCGGAACTATGAAGGTGAGTGTCATTTCTCTTGCAGGGGTGGGGTGGGGGGGTTGTCAGTGTATGGGGGGGGGGCGGTGGTAGTGGGATGCTCTCTCGGGTGCGGGTAGAGGGGGGGCTAGAGTGTTGTTGGTCAATGTCAGGCTCTCTTCGTGGGGGAGAGGGGTGTTGGTCTGTGTCAGGGTCTCTAAGTGGGGGAGGGGGAGCCAATTTTTGTATTGCCTAGGGCAGCACAAAACCTAAATACACCACTGCCTGCACCTCCAGGAGAATTTTATGATGATAGGATATGGCGAGAAATGCTCTACAGCCCTTCATCCCTCAGGAGCAGGGGCTTGTTACAAGCACAACCTCTGCTACCTCCATAGATCTTGTGCTGTTTACTCGGCTAAAGTTGTAATGTTTTGCATGTATTCTTATGGAGATTGCACTACATGGTGCAAAATTAAGTGCTATGTGAATTAGCATGTTGATTGTTTCATTCAGCATGGGTTTGTAAGTAGGCTTAATTTAAACCTCCATGAGAACCTACACTTCCATTTGGCAGAGACATGCAAGAAGATGACAGTACACAGTTTTTAGCACTTCTCCTCCTAACAGGTCAGCCCATTGTTTACTGGAATATGGATTGGTATCAGGATACTAAGTCATACCGCAATGGGACTGTAAGTTTTCAACTGTCATTTTACAGTCAAGGTTTGAAAATGAACAAAATATTCTAAGGCCAACAGTCACATCTGCTATTCTGCCACCAGTGATGGCTCGTTACACGGTAGGAATGCGTTGGGAAGACACAGCAGGGAGATGATAAAGTCCCCTGCCTTGCTGATCCAGCTGCTGAGAAAGCAACGCATACAAGTACGTGAATATGCTACATGAATATTTTAATGATCTAGTTGTTGGTGACAGGATCCCAAATGTAACATTGGTCTAATGAGTTGTTGCTCTGCTCAGCAAGTATTTTGGCATAGCATTCTTTCAGTTCATCAACTAAAAGCTGTGTGTGTAGTAAACTGGTGGATTGCAAATCTCTGATGGGTTGTAAAATTATCCACATATGTTACAATCTGAATATACTGTCTCCTAGTGTTTCAGCAGGAGCAAAAGGTGATACCTGATTGAAAGTAATTAAAAGGATTGCTTAAAGTGATTGTAAACCTTATTTTTTTTTATAGTAAATATTTTATTTATGTTGTACAGAGCAGCCCCGATTCTCCTCTTCTGGGGTCCTACGCTGGCGTTCCTTGCTCCTCCTGTTTGGTTAGTGCTGTTTCCTATGGGGGCACTCATGTGGGCTCGATCCTAAGCTGCACTGCCTTCATCTATAGATACAGACAACATTGCTCAGAACCGCCCCCAGCTGCTTCATCACAGGATGTGATGAGCAGGAGCCAAATTCTCCCACTGCTACCAATCTGCCCTGTGAGGAGGGAGAGAGTAGAGAGAGCCACTGTTGTCAGGCACAGCACTGGATAAAGAGAGGGTTCACAAATGTATAAAGGCAAGCTGGGGGGATCCTGTGGCACAGAAAGTTTTTACCTTTGTAGCACTACCCCCTTAGGAGTTGCATATTATTTGGGTCCCCCTATAGCCCTGCACAGCTAGAAAACACATATCCCCACACAAACTTGCATTTAGGAGTCAGTAACCAGTCCTTGAGCTCGTTTTGAAGTTTTATTAGGGGATTTCAATTTGGACAGGGTAAGGGGTGTAAGGAATGTCATATGGAACTGAGAAACCAGGGACAACTTCCTGAAATGTAGTTAAATGGAGGAAGTTGGGTGACCATCAGGTGGTTAGAGGTCACACCCAGGAAAATGTCATAGTGCCACGTCCCAATTGAAGGATAAATATGTCAAAAAATAGCTAATGGACTTTTTAGGCACATAAACTCAGTACACAAAGCATAAAAAAGCAATTGTTACTTTATTAACATATCACATCTAAAACATATATGTGTATTTAAAATTGCATTGCACATTGAATCACAGCATGTTTCCCCCATCAACCCCATTTATAGGCTGCTCCAATGGAAGTTTGATAGAGATGGTAGACACAATTTACTTCCTTCAAAAAGAGGGGAATTTCCAAGCTGTGTAGAAAACGCCGAACATGTTTTGCGACTGGAGTCGCTTCTTCAGGAGCTAGCAACGCATCTAGAAAATGAACAAACTTAAACAGTAATCACTGTAAAATTAAACAGTGAGTGCAAATACATCATGGGTACTGCCTGTCAGGCACTTACATGAGAAGAAAACAGTGTGTATTGTATGATAGAGAACCCCTCAATGCAGCAAACCAGGTCCCCCCAGCCGGCCAAAGCAGGAACCCCACCGACGGGTGTATCAATAAGGCAATGAGCAGACAATGACACCCCACAGGAATCACGGGCATTCAGCAGAAAAATAAAAATCAGATGTACAGAGTGACAATTGGCATCATCATCATAGTTATCCAGCTAACAAGGATTAGTAATGGAGGACAACACAGGCCTATAAAAGACCAAAGTGTAAAAAAATAAGTTAGTGGTACCTTAGAATAGGCAACTTCCTGAACTATGCACTATGAACTATATAACTGGTTACAGCAAACAGTCTCTTTCAGAGAGCAAGCCAGTGTCTCCTGTAGTACCACCCCCGACCTCAGATGCTCCTATATCTGGCTGCCTTTAGGAATCCATGAGCAGGGGATCCAGTGCCTGCTGCTTTAAAAGAAGACAGTCTGGGGAGTTGCTAAACTGTTTTTCCACCAGAGTGCTCCTTCCCCTGTCTGGGCCAGGGGGGCAGGGTTACTCACTTGGTCCTCCTCCTATGCTGCGGGTGGGTAAGTGGCTGCTACTAGGCCTTCTAGCTGGGACGCTCCTTCCCTGGTACACAGGTGGTCCTCTCTCAGGGGGCTGGTGAAGGTCCAAGTTTTTCCCTTCCAAGTTCCCTGCCTGGAGGTGAGCCCCTTCCCATCTAGGCCCCCTCCCAGACTCCTGCTCTCAAGCCTTCACATCCTCTTCCACCTGAACTCTCCTCCTGCTCTCCTGCTGCTCAGTAGGCGCAGTCACTTTTTAAGGGTTGTCCTGGCCAAGCCTTTTGTTGGGGATTGGCCAGGGTCCCTCAAAGGTGCAGATCAGCCACTCCTAACATCCGCCCACGGCCTTTAGAACTTTCTCCAAAGTCCTAGTGCAAGGGGAAGTCTCAGAGAACTTACCTGCAAAGCCTCTCAGCTCTAACCGGAATTTGACCCTTTGACTTTTGCACTGACTAGGAGAGTGCTGCATCTTAAAGCAGAGAATACACTGAGGTAAAAACCTTAAGCCTTTAGAACCACTTTAAAGCAGATCTTCAGCTCCCCCACTACTTTTTTTTAATCTCTGCTTACCTTTTGCTGGTTTCTCCACAGTTTGGCTAATCACGGCTCTTCTCAGCAGTTGTTGTTTGGGTTCCCGCACTGCGATGTATTTATATGATGGCACTGGGAATCCCGCCAGCTCTTGTGGGTTTAGCCAGCAGGCCTCCCAATGGCACGCCGCTAGGGCCACCCCTTCCTCCTCTGTCAATGAAACTCTAAAGGCCTCCTAGGATATGTGATGTACATATCCCAGGAGGCACAGAGGGCACACTTTGAATTTTGCGGTCCTGCAACACTTTACCCATATCACATTTTTATAATTTTTTTCACACAAATAGAGCTTTCTTTTAGTGGTATTTAATCACCACTAGGTTTTTTATTTTTTGCTACATAAATAGAAAATTACAGAAAATGTAGATAAAAAACATGTTTTTCTTTAGTTTCTGGTACAAAATTTTGCAAATAAAAAATCTTTCTTCTTAAATTTAGGCCAAAATGTATTCTGCTACATTTCTTTGGTAAAAGATAACCCAAATCGGTGTCTATTATTTAGTCTGTGTGAAAGTTATAAAGTCTACAAACTATGGTATATATATCTGAAAATTGATCAGTCCTGATGTACTGATGGCCTGTCTCCTTCTTGAAGCCCTAGAACGCCAGGACAGTACAAATACCCCTCAAATTACCCCTTTTTGGAAATTAGACAGTCCAAAGTATTTAGTGAGAGGCATAGTGAGTTTTTTGAAGTTGTATTTTTTTGTCACAAAAAGTTAGCAAACTGAAGAAATTAAATGAAACTTGTTTTTTTCTCACTTTTTTTCTTCTACATACTGTCACCAGAGCATCACCATATGACTGGCGTGGCAGTGACCAGGGACACTAACTGGTGACATTATGTAGGAAAAAAAAAATGTTTCTTACAATTTATTTTTCTTTTTTTACGATTTTTTTTTTTTTACATACTGTGACCAGAGCAGTGCAGTGTTACCATAGTGACACTGTACTACTCTGGGGAGGTGATCAGGATTTTTTTTTGCTGATCACGGTTATAAGCAGTCATTTTTATGAATAGCATCCATTCATTCATTGTGTACTACTGAGAATCACATGGTACAGATACACTGTGGCGCTGACTGTACCATGTGATCACTGTGACCAGTCACAGAGATCGACAAAACATTACACAGTAATGAGCTATGACTGAAATTGAATGGCTATGAATGAAAGCCATTCAATGTGTACAACTTTCATGTGATTGCTGTTATTGGTCACATGGTCACATGTTACCTGAACTGGCCTGGAACAGTAATGTGTCCAGTGGACACTGTGGGTGATAGATCGCACAATGGCACCTAGGGCATGCACAAGGCACATGACTGGGAGGATGTCATATAACATCCACCCAGAATGAGAGATCTCCTGCTTGACCGTCATTTGACAATAGGCCCGGTGGGAAGCAGTTAAAGAATATGTAAACTCAACATTTAATATTCCTGATATGTGCCTACTGTACCATGTACTTGTATGAAAAAGTATCCTTTTCTCATGTTACTGCTTCCTTTGTGTGAAATCCCTGGTATTCCTACCAGTCCTTCTGCTCTCCTAATAAAAACCGACCACACTAGACATGAGAACACAGTGTGGTCAGTTTTCTGTGCCTGAAGATAATCCAATGATTAGACTTGTGCTGACATCCCCATACTGCACAGCCATTCAGTGTGCTGCTGTTTCTCTTCCCTGAGCTGCTTATTTAGCTGAGAACAGAGGGTATGTGATCACCTATAACAAAGGGAAAAAAGGTGTTTTAAAAAAAAAAAAAATATATATATATATATATATATGTGTGTGTGTGTGTGTGTGTTTTGCCTAGCATTTCTATTTTAAACTGAATGAGCTGTTTTACGGGGTGAGGGTTTACATATACTTTTTCCAGGGTTTATGATTTATTCTGCTTGTCTCTTCATACTAACATGACACAATCTATTTGTAACGGTAAGATTTCCTTCCAGGAGTCCCCAGGCTGCCCCGGGGTCACCACATGTAACATGTCACACCGGGCAACCCTGCACTAGCTCCAAAAACACACATCTTTTTCCAGCCCTTGCAAGGTCATCCTCTGATCTGCCTTCCTCATGTTCAAGGAGGATGGAGCATGCTGAAACACAGTAGGAACCTTTGCTACTTGGGGATTATTTTTAAACTCACCCGAATGGAGAGTTTAATAAATTATTCATTGGAGGGAAGAAGGAAAAAAAAAAAAGAGGCTGCGGCTGAAATGCTGATGTCAGGAGACAAGTGCAGTGTAGTATGGTGCAGTCAGGATAAGGAATGCCTGCCAGCCAGCTCCTTCCCGAGTCTCTGTCCTCCCAGCACTCACTATTACACAGTGCATACACATTCTCTGAGACAGGGGGGTCAGGATGAGAATGGCACTCATGAAGGAACCCCTGCTATTCTTTATGTTGCTGGGCTGTATGCACCACGCTGCTCAACTCAAGAAATCTACCAGATGTCCTTCCACATGCAGCTGCACCAAGGAATCAGTCATATGTGTCGGCTCTTCCTGGATCCCCAGGACCATTCCCAGCGACATCAGCTCCTTGTAAGTGGAACGCCGGTTGCACAAGGTGCATGAATGAGGGATGCGGTGTCCTGTCCAGCTGCAGGAGATCTCTTTCGAAGTGTTCAGTTCCCAGCTGGACAGGGGAAATATTAAGGGTGCGATACAGTTTAATGGCTAATAGGTAACCAGCATGCATGCAGAGAGATGTTTAGCTCAATTTAAAAATCAAGACTAGTCTGCAAGTCTGCTAAGTTTTTATTGTGGAGCTGCATATATATCTAGAGCACTGCAATAATACTTTTTCAGTAGGATGACTGACAGTTGATGTGCATGTGGGTGCTGATGCACTAGACCGAAAGGGGGGACACGGAAAAGTGTAGCTTCCATATAGGTGTGGCTTGTGTGGACCACTCGTGCTGTAAACTCTGTTGCAGTTGTTTCTTAATGTAGTTCTGCCATTCCTTTACCAGAACTTGCTTATGTAGTGTGCAATTAAATAGAAAATAATTGTGCTCCAGAGACTGGTTATTTCCCCTGGCCGTGGCCTGAAATAATTCTGTGTGCTGGCCAAGGATGCAGTGTGGATGGAGGAGGGGGGCATGCCAACTTACTGGACTCGTAACTCTAGTAACCCACCTGCTGTGACATCACACAATATGGCAGTGACACAGTTGGCCTTGTGTTTCAAATTTAAAGGGCCTGTCCACCCAACAGTAAAATTTTAGTTATAGGCAGAGGCTGGAGGAACCACCTCTCATAACTGCCCCTCTGTGCAAAACCAGGCGATCACATTTATGGAATTCTAAAGATATACTTTTTTTTTCCAGTCGCTACTAAAAAGTTAAAGTAGAACTCCGGGGTTAAAACTATCTAACCTTAAAAGTGCTCCATCCCCCTGCCTAACACCTATACTAACTATCCTGCACAAGAAATATAAGTATACTTACCTGTTCTCAGGTTGCTCCAGTCTAGTCACATGATCTCCCCTGTGTCAGCCTGCGCCAGCTACAGAGAAAAAAAAAACGAGGGAGCACTATGAAAATGGCTGGAATGCCTGAGCTGTGATGTCTGCCATTGGCCATCCATTGATGATGCTTCCTCCTCTCCCCTGAAGCCACTGCTAGCTGAGAGAGAAGAAACAATCACATGACTGGACCGGAGCACCCTCTGAATAGGTAAGTATAAGCATCTTCTATAGGGTAGTTAGTATAGGTGTTGGAGGGGGAGCAGTTTTAGGATAAGATAGTTTTAGCCTTCAAATAACAGTTTGGGGTGGACTGGCCCTTTAGGAACCGGTCCATCTTTATTATATTTCCTCTTCTAGAGCGCTGAATCACCCACTGGATTCTTGTGTCTATCAGAACAGTTCAGCATTATGATCTATCCATTATATTTCCTGGTTCTGTTCCAAAGCCTTGGAGTTTCTTCTTTCATGCTGGAAGCAGTGGGAGAGTCGCTATTTCTGTAGCATTGTCCATAGTATAAACTAAAACTGGAGAGCGATACTCTTTATAGCAGCACTGGCAGGTAGGTAGACCTGAGAAGTCAATTTCAGGAAATCTCAAAGCCCTGAAAAATGGAACGAGATGAAGGGCAATTCATCTTGCCAACATCAATGAAATTGAATTATTGTGACTCAACTGACTGTTTCATGTAGATTATGATTCAGTCCTATAGCATAGTGCTTTCCTCTTTATTAAAAAAAAGTCCTCTTTATTATTAAAAATGCTTTTTATTTAAACAGAAGTGTGACAGATAAATTGTCTGCTTAGATCTACCAATGGACTCTGATGGATAGATATAGCAGCACCCTGCTGTACCAGAAATCCAGGTAGTGGCAAAAGGGATGCCTCCATGATGCACCCCTTAGAATTACACATTCCTAAAAAAATAGGTATTCTAAGAATCATAAACCCACAACTGATCCATAGGAAGGCAAAGAGTGTTGCGCAATCCCCAAGGAAATTGGGCAACTGCCTTGAACAACTTCCTAAAATTTTGTATAAATGTTAGTACTTTTGCCTGCTATTCGGATTACAGTATTTTATTTTGTTGATTTATTTTAACTTTAAGGTGCCCGTATACTGTACATTTTAGTTGTAGGGGAGGTTTTTTAGTTATGGACCGAGTTCTACTAGTAAACAGACAATGAATGGTGTGCTGACGCTTGAGACCAACAGGTATCCAGGATGGTAAAGGTGGTTTCACAAAGGCTGTATTTCAAGGTTAGGCAAACCAATGTAGCGCTACTCTCATAGGAGCCGCAGGAATACTGTCCAGGTTTTCCCCAAAAAGCTTTGCTCTGCAGCCAGGCACGTAGGCTCATCCCTACATTTCTTCAATGAACAGTCTAGGGGTGTTGTTTTTGTTGTTTTTATTTTTGAAGAACTTGGATAGAGATGAGAGAGATGAGTGGGATACTCCAAAAATAGGAACTATGTACACTTGAGGACTTTATCTAATCTTCAGGGCAGGCTATGTTAGAGCCAGTGCTTGAATCAAACAGTGGACGTCAGCTTTAAGGCAGTAGTAAAAAAAAGTAGTAGTAGAAGTAACAGTGGTAGTAGTAATATTAGCAACTTCTTTAGAGCCCAGAGCAGTGTCCCTTTAAGGAGTAGGTCATATGGACAAAGCTCTTTGGAACACCAGCCAGTATTCCCTTTGCTAAACCCTCAGCTGACTTCCTAGCACCAGAGGGGATTAAACCGCACTCAGTCTCTAAAATCCTTTAGGGATGTCTGTACTCACAAGGCCCAAGAGCAGCTGGATGCCTTCCTCTCTGATACCAGAGCAGATCTTCAGTAGTCAGCCCCTCAGTTAGCATAGCAGGATCTCAGCATTCAGACCCTCAGGTTGCCCACCTGTGGCCGCACAGCAGTAGTTGCCTAGGAGGGCAATGTGCCCTCTCCCAGGTTGCACCAATCCTGGACAGGAAAAGACCCAGAACTCAGTGTGCTCACTGAATATATACAGTTACCCTGCATGCCATCAGAGCTAGTCTCCCTGGGATAGGCTGAGGCTGTATCAGTATTCATGCTGCATACTCCCCACCTATTATCCAGAAACTTCTCAAGAGGAAGCTAGGCAGACTGACAGCAGCTGAGTACACGGAGTAGACCTAACTAAATGATCGCTGTTCACCAAGTATAGAGAGCTGTCCATGCTTTTACCTAACAAACATTTACAGCCACTCTGACTACACAGTGACAATTAAGACGTGTGTCTCATCTATACTATAAAACGTTTGTAGGTTGTAGTGGCAATTTACTGGTTCTGTGCTAGTGTTGGGGGTGTAAGTGGGAGAGGTACAGTAGGTCCCCAATTCTAAAACAATAAATCAGGCATCCCATACTGAGAAATGGAATCATTGTAATATTACCATATATAGTAAGCAATTACAGCGTAATAATAAAACCGGCTGTAGCACCCTTGGATGCACCAGAGAGTGGTGAATGGTGTGTGTAGCTACATCACACTGAAAAGTGGAGTCCTAAAATGGCATGGTTAAATGTAACATAAGCCAATTTGTTGTATACAAAGCCACAGTCTTCTGACTTACAGTTAAATTCTGCAAGGGTTTAATGCTCATTTATTTAGGGTACCATTAAAAATCATGTACCTTAGCTCTGGCTCCTCCAGCAATTGTGGCTCAACTGTTCCCTCCAACAGTCTGGAGGTAATGCAATGTATGTGGCTACATCAGAGTGCGGCTGGACAGAGTTGTGAAAAGAAAGAGCTTTGGGGTACCAGTCACATGGAGAGGCGAGAGCCTGTAATAAGGGCAAACAGCAAGGTAAGTTAAACATTTTTTCATTAGTACCCTGGGCAAAAATGAGCTTTTAACCTTTGCATTGTGAGGGCAGTCCCACTGCAAGGGTAGCTTTCAATTTTCCATGGAATTCAGCCTTAAATACTAGAAAGCATCTCAAAAACACACATAAACCTCAGCACAGTCATGGATCATTGTTGAAAATGAAACTTTCAATATATATATTTTTTAGCATACAGAATAGACATGATACATAATAGAAAAGACATGGACCAAGCGCATTGTCTGAGCTTACCTTAAAGAAGAACTTCTTTAAAGTAGCTCATAGTAGTTAGTCACATTGAACTGAACTTGTTCAATTAAATTTGAAGATGTTTCATAGCTTACCAAGCTACTTTAGTTCCAATGCATGTCAGGAGGATATCCCATTAGTAGTTGGGGAGTGATTAGCAGCAGCAGCTGTCGAGACAGTGAACATTGTGGTTAGGAGGATGTAATGTACAGTAGATCATAATAATAATAATAATAATAATAATGCAGTGCCTGGAGTATGTAACATAAAACATAGCACATAGAGTACATGCCTAGGGTGTGGTTAGGGTGTGCACGGGGCAGAATGGTCAGTATAGTGCCCTTTTCCTTGGTAGTCAGCAGAGAAGTTTTTTTTATACTGATGGTCAGTGTGTTGCCCCCCTTACATTGGTATTACCAGCGAAGTTCTCCCTTGACACTAGTATCAGCAGCAAACAGTATACAGTACATGGCCACATTGAGCTGAAGATTTGGCATGACCTAAAGAGGAATGGTTAAAAGAACATGAGCCCATTCAGTGTATTTCACCTTTATGCGGACAGTCTCTGCAGTTCAATTCTGAATGGGCAATTCTGTTGTGTTTACTTATTCCTAATAAATGTTCTTTCTATTGGCGGAATATTTTATGTCTGCCTTTTTTGTTATGTACCTATCCTGTCGAAAATCTTAAATAAACAATTAAAAAAAAATGTACCAATCAGTGGTTGGAAATAATGCCATAGCTTCAGTCATGGGAGGGAAAATTGCCTTAGCATCAATAGCAGAGTTAGAAATTGCTCCAGTGTTATTGTTACTATTAGTGGCAAGTGTGTGAGTGTGGATGTGCCTGTAAATCCAATACCAGGCAATGTAAAAGACCTCAGACAGTGTGGGAGCTGAACGTGTCTCAGCAGCTTCCCACTATCACCTGTATATTCAGAGCCAGCAGAGGAAATTTATACCCATGACTCCCTTTGCAGCTCTCATGTGATCTGTCAAAGCCACAAAGCAAGTGACTAGTGTAAAACCTCCACTGCCAGCTCCTTGTTTATAGGTGATGGCAGGAGGTCTGTTTACACAATACACTGCAGATAAATAATTATCTTGGGTGTCAGTCAGGGGTGGACTGACCATTCCAGCACTGCCTGAGGGCCTGGGGACAGTAGGAGGCCCCATGAAATGCCCCTGGTACCTTTTATAGGCTTTTTTTGGGTGTGCTTTGAGTGTGGGCAAGGACACATGGGCCCCATGATCCCCTATTGCCGGGGGCCCTATGTGTTGTCAGTCTACCCCTGGTGGCAGTATTCCTCCCTGTAAAATTCCCAAGTCCACCACTGCAGGTTTTTTCGGGGTGCTCTAGGGGGTGCTAGCAGAGTTTTTTGTGGTTCTTTACCTCACCTAAACAACCCCCTAACCTACTTTTCCGCAGTAGATCTGGCCAGTGGATACTTGTTAGAGATTCTGTATATAGCGATACAGGACAGACAGTGCACAGTCCAAATGTGTTTATGTGCTGCTTCTCTGCAAACAGGAAACAGGAACTTTATTACAGAGAAAAGACAATAGAGCATACAGTACCATAGATGCAGCTACAAACTTAGAAACACTGCCATCTACTGAAGAATGTATCTCCACTGAATACTAAGGTGTAGTTGTACAAAATACATGAACATCGTATTCTAAAAATACTGGTAAGTCACTGTCAAGGAATGGGACATTAAAAAGACTGGTTTAATGCCTCTGGTGTTGTACACATTTACTTGGATTCCCTCTGGGCTAACCAATGCACCTAAGTACTTTCCAAAAGCTGACAGAGCGGAGATTTGAACTTTGACTCCGTTTTGATTTACCTAGATGACATTGTAATATTATCTGATATTCTTGACAATTACATCAGGTTCTTACTTTGCTAATCCAGTATGGACAAAAATTCAAGTCTAATAAATATCACCTGATGTGGATCTCAATATAGTACTTGGGGCATGTTTGTTGTAATTGAAGCTGAAAGGATATCCTCAGATATGACACAGACAGGGGCGAACTGACAACTCATGGGGCCCCCGGGCAATAGGGGTCATGGGGCCCCTGTGTCCTTGGCCAAACTCAAAAAAAGCCTATGAAAAAGATACCAGGGGCATCTCATGGGGCCCCCTACTGACCCTGGGCCATCGGGCAGTGCCCAAGTTTCCAAATGGTCAGTCCGTCCCTGGACACAGGCTGTACAAAACCGGCAGACCCCTAAAAATGTGATGAACTATGTTCCTTCATGGGTCTGGTCCATTATTATCAGCATTTCCCCTGAACTTTGCTTGGATTGGCGTACCACTTAAGCAGCCTATGTGGACACCCCACTCATTTAATATGTGAAAACTCACTTTCAGTTGAGGCAAAGAGGCAGGCAACTTACATTGAAGCCTTTGAGGCTCTGAAAGAAAAACTGACTATTGCTTCTATCTTGGCATATCCTGATTACCAAAAATCCTTCTGAGTTTTTACATATGGCAGTTTGCCAAACTTGGAAGCTGTGTTGGTCCAGGAACAAGATGGGCTTGAGAGAATCCTCACTTATGCTATTCTAAAGCTGGTCATAGAGGGGTAGTTTTTTGCTTCAGCCAGTGGTTGGTGGAGGAATCCCCCCCCCCCCCCGTGGGACATTGTATTCTGACAGTGGGACCCACTGCTGTCAGAATACATTGATCAGCATCTGCAGTTGATTGACTGCAGCTGCTGATCGACAACCGTTTTCCAGCATATTCCAGCAGGCTCAGCCACACACTAACAGAAATTTGGCCAGTCTTTGCTGAACCATTTGAACTTCAATCCATCTATGGCCAGCTTAAGTATTAAGGACATATAAGCAGGTTGAAATTTCTGGTCTTTTTTTTCGGTTCCCCGAGTAAGAGCCATGAGCACAGAATATTACTTCTAACTTGTATGTGAAGTCGTCAGAACTTGGGGTTTGTTTCTGAATACACCAGCTACTGGAGAATGCCTCCAATGGACTCTGTAATTACATGGACTCTTCCTCTGCAGGTATGCTGGTGCAGCACATAGCCTGGTTAGGAGAAGGGATTAGGAACTTAGGATGTTGACCATTTTTATTGAAGTTGTGTTGGGCTGTTTTTGTCTGCTTTTGGACTGTTTTGTGATGCTGTGTATTACTACAAGTAAAGAATTAAACTTTGCTCTCTGCCTGGTCTGAAGTCCTTGAAAGGGGTGCATTGTAAGTAACTGGCATTAGCACACAATTAGTCTACAACTTGGGACGCTTGCACATGGGGTATGAAGAGTCACTATATTAAAAGTCACTTTAATACCAGTCATACATGTGGTTGTAATGCTTAATGGAAGATACAATCACCAAGCAGTCTGTCATAAACATGCACCTGTTATAGGTGGAGTTGCCTCTAGCCGGGAGGGAGATGTTGTTGGCACTCCCTATGCGGCATTCTGCCTCCATTAGCAACCGAAATGGGACTGCAGAGGTTCCCATCCTATATAAAGGTATGGAAGTACAAGAGTAAAGTCAAGTGCATGGTTGGAACCCGGGCTATGCGAATGGTGGGGGTTCTATGCTGTTACTGGGACAGGTATTGGAAGTGCTGGACAGGTGGCTGTGATCAGTGTTTGGCATGGCACGTCTAAATGCAAGCTACAGTGAAAAGATGTACATTTACACGGGGACCTGAGAGTTAACTGGAGGATAGTTGTTGTGCAAGTGTAATGATGTACGTTCATCTATA